AATAGTTCCCCAGCTAAAATGACGGTAGCACAAAGACACACTGTTTTGGAATGTATCCAGTTCTCCGCTTTGACTCAGATAAAATTAGGTTAGCGATACAAATTACGAAGAGACATTTTTTGATAATTCAATAATAACATTCAATGCAGCGCTAATAGAGTCCTAAATTACGCCCTAACTAAATTTATGTCAGTTTTAGCCTGTGTTTACACAAGCTCCCTGCCGAGGGTTAATGGCCTCCAACCCGAGATGGGGTGACAACTAACGAACGGGCTGGCAGCCAAGAGTTAGTCTAAGATCAGTTTTAAAGTCAACATATTTGTGAACATCATTAACAGATTGATGAATAGTATAAAGATCATTTAAAGAAGCACGACTTTTGATGCACAATTGCCGTAATGAAGTTTAAAATCAAAAAGTTTTTTTGTGGGTATCTAATAATTTCATTTGCAACGCCAAGAATTATCATGGTAACCAGTTGAATTAATCGTAACTTTTCTGCACCAAGAAAATTTCCTTAGGAAAGACTAATTACCGTAGGTCTATTTTTGTGGTTTCTTACTGATTACATTTCATTTGTAAATGACCTCACCAGCTCACCTATCCCATGTAATCAAGTTAAGAAACAATGTGTTGATTTAATCACGACTTTTGTCACACAAACAGAGAGTTAATTGCCAATGTCTAATTAACTTAGTACAGTCTAAAATGAAAGTTTTGTTGTAGCGAACGACCTTAATGAGCATTACCAGTCACCTGTGGTAGTAAAGAAGTATTGTCCGTGATAATTACCTGTAACGATTTTTTTTCATTCATTTGCAAACATCCCAGGAGGCCTTTGGCCTTTGTCACGCTGGTCAAGTAATCATTTGCAGAGTAATTAGTTGTTACAAAATCATGTGAGTAATTAGCTGTTACATAACTATGTGAGTAATTAGTTGTTACATAACCATGAGAACTGACGGATACACACACACACACCAACACACTTGAGGGCCAAGTGGACACAAACACACCACCAAGGTTGTTCACCAGCAAGTTTTTCAAAGCATCGTGAGGTTTGTATTTTTTTTGGTCAATTTCGGCCAAAAATCTACTGTCAAGTTGATAAGTATGTATCGATTGGATATTGCGAATTTTGGCTCATGATGTTTTAGAGGAAAAACAGGAAAACATTAGTTTTGCTATTTGTGCCGGGGTCTCCCTTGAAAAGCAAACGAAGTGGTTCATTTGAACCGGCTTGTTTAATAGATGGCGGTCATCAATTCCCATTTATGATAATAAGTACGTAATAGGTATAATTATATATTTCTAGTTATTGCCAAACTATGATAAAAGAAGAAGGAAAGTATGCTGTTATTTTAGGGGCTTTACTTACTATATGGTAAATTGACTCTTCTAACACAACGAAGTCTTTTATTTAGCCGACGTGTCATGAGCGTCTCTCCCCTTTCTCAGGGCAATTCTGACTGGAATGGTTCACATGCATTACAGCACAGGTGTTGCTGCTATAAATGCATTCTAAACGGTACAATTTTGCTATCATCATCTTATAATTCATCTATAGCAGCGACACCTGTGCTGCAATGCAATTTGAACCAGTCAGAAATGCCCTAAGGAAGATGACAGACGGTCACCGAAACGCCGTCAAAATAAGGAATTTAGTTGTGTTAAAATAGTCTCTTTTATCTGTGTCTTACCAACCTGATAAAACTTCACGGATGAGGAGTCTTACTTGACTTCTGTCATGTAAAAAAAGTACTTATGTCAATAAAACAGAACTAATTGCGAAAAAATTAGTAATAATTTTTGTCATTCCTGCCTTTAAATTTTGATGAAGTATTCTACGTCATAAGAATTTAGAACCGGAACAAAAAAATAAACAAAATGTATTCATTCTCCTCAATCTACTTGTATATTAAGGAGCAGAATGTAAAAAGTAACAAAATATGCATTGCAACGAGAAACATGTCTTATCTTCTCTCCCCTTTGATGTAGAATGGCGGGGAAATGTTCCTTAGCCCTGGTGATAATGGTGATACTTGTTGGACTTCTGACAGACCAGCCCGGCGTGTTGTCTGCACCAGCGGAACCTGACCCAGACGGTAATGAAAACTTCATTTCATATTGAAATTATCCATTTCATTTTTCTGGAATATGTATAACAAATCGCTTTAAAAGCCTTTATCCCCTATGCAACTTATCATTGGAACAAGGTGACCCTAGAAGATCGCCCGTTCAGCCTCCCCTTGTTTAGAAAAAAAATTGATTAAAACTGTACGCCCCTCCCCCATTACTTACCTTAGTTCCGGTCCCCGTTACTCCTGCGCTTTACTTACACGTTTTCGCCTCGGTACACACAGTCTAAACCAAACTTTTTCTCTTGTTATTTAGTTTCAAGTCCAGCTTGTTCCTGTGGTCACCCATGTGAAAACATTACTCACTTTATGTTACACTGCCCTAGCTACACTCAACAGCGAAATATCCTTTTTCGGCAACTTGAAAACACTGATTGGCTTTATTACTGACTTGGACGATCTTTCAGATGATATTATGGTACATTTACTTTTAAGGTTCTTCTTTTCTCTCAACAATGTACAATATTCAAATTTTACAACATGTACAGACATTCTTGGTAGAACCCATTCGTTTTTGTAATATCTGATCAATCCTGTCAGCATTTATATACATATATCTGTTTCACTTGTTCATTGATTAATTGTTGTAATTAATATCTATATGCTAATTCTTGCTTTGCTAGTCGTATGTGTTATGTATTGTCTGGTGACGACATGAATATAAGTGTAACTTGAGTGTGTCGCCACCAAGTCTTGTCACTAAATGTTTCCATAAAATATAAAACATTTCCTCAACCCGCATGTTAAGCCTTAACAATCTACTTGACAAAATTGGACAGCAGCTTATAACTTCTTTATATAGTAGATTGTACTTGTTGTTGATTCTTGACTATTGGACATAACCCAGGATTTATTCTGACTGTTTCTTATGCCAACTCGAAATTGTAGGAAACTTCCGGAATGCTCAACAGGAATTCATGACCAACCTGAATACATTACGGCAGACAATGGCTGCTTTCAAAGGTATGTCCGTTTATATTTTTTGAAAAAAAATATTATTTTTTATTTCCTATGTATTAATAGTATATAGTATAGTATAATCAGATTTTCTCCTTTTAAAATTGGAGATTGTCCTGTACGAATTCTCACTTGTGTTAGGACAAATTGGAATTCTTATCTCCCCTAAGAGACTCTAGAATCCTAGGAGAGATTGGAATTCAGGTATTTAGATCCCAGTTCAGTAGAAGAAAAACTTTCATTCCAGCCGCCCCTAGGGGAGATAGGAATTCTGCTATACCGCAGTGGATCATACTTTAGCTGCCGTAACATATGATTGGAGATCAGAGGGGATAGAAATTAACTCTCAACAGTACACCTTCCCGGACTGATAAATCTGTACACCTTGGGTCCGCGCGGACCCCAGAACAATTTTTAGAAATTATCAACATGCTACCGGCTCAATTGTTTTGCAAATTGATGTGTGAACCTCTTAGTCCATATTACGCACAAAAATCATACATTTTGACCTTTTCCTATTTGTTGGTGAAGAAAAGACAAAAAGCAAAATTACCCTATTTTTAAACCCTATCCAGACCGAGTGGTCTTTTGAGACCCACGCCAACTTTAATCCGAGATAGCGTCTGAACGGCTTGAGCTAGAACCTTCAAATTTGGTGACCTTCCCTAAAATGTATCTGGAAAAAAAATTATATTAGTTAAATGAGTTTATGATTTTTTGTGTTGCCATGGCAACGGGTTTCTGACAGGTAGTTTTGTTGGAAAAATCAGTGATTTTGGTTAAAACATAAAAATTTTCTGGGTTTTACGTTAAAAAACACTTCATTTCTGATATTAATAATATCTTACATAATAAAAGATCAGTTAAATCATTTAATATTCATAATATGTGCTAATTTGATGACGTCATCGATGAAAATCCAATATGGCGGACCATATCATTAGCTCTGAAGTCATATGACGTCATAATTCCATAAAAGTTGTTAGAATTTAATTTTATTATTACACAATTTTCTAAAATTGGTGGCCATACGATAAGTGCATGAAAAACATGTGTAAACGGAAATAAGAAAAATAAAATAAGAACGTCAGTGTATCCATTACCATCGAAAGCCGGCTGGGGTCCGCGCGGACCCCAAAAGAAAATGAGATATAAAAATTTTTAGTAAGGGGGAAACTGAGTTTTCTGCACTATATTGAGAGACAACTTTGTGGGTGACAATACCTGAAATTTCAGAAAAAAATCTTTAGAAACAAAAAAATATATTACAGAATATATAGTGTTGAGGTCCGCGCGGACCCCAGGTGTACTGTTTAGGGTTAAAATGGTAACCTTCTCATCATCTCTCTCTGTCTGCTTGGAGATTAAAAAGGATACAAACAGGGATAACCATGGTCTCTACCCGTATACTCTTTGATTCTCTCTCTTTATCTCTTTATCCCTTTCTGCTTCTTCCCTCTCTACTCATACTATCTCCTTTTTTCTTCCCCTCTTTATTTATGTTTTAAATACCAGATTATTTGGCATCTTTTTACAGATGTGCTGAGTACCCTTCAAAAGCGAGTCCCTACACTTGACAGTCGACTCCTTACCCTTGAGGGTAGGTTTAAGGAGAGGGAGGAGCGACTTGATCATTTGGAAGACACAATGGACACTGATATTCTGGACAATCGAGTTCTCGCCCTTGAGAGTTCGGTTAACCAGAGCAAAGAACGACTTGACCATATGGAGAACACGATGGACGCTGATATTTTGGACAGTCGAGTTCATGCTCTTGAGAGTTCGGTTAACCAGAGCAAAGAACGACTTGACCATATGGAGAACACACTGGACCATGATACTCTGGACAGTCGAGTTCTCGCCCTTGAGAGTTCTGTTAACGAGAGCAAAGTACGACTTGCCCATATGGAGAACACGATGGACCCTGCGATTCAGGCTCTAGATGAAAGGCAGGACAGCATGGAGATGGTCCTGGATACAACCAACGAAAACTTGGAGGCGGCCCTTGAGGCGATAGATGAGTCTAGAGGTAAGACTTAAACGTTGATACAGACACAATACAGTCGATGCACGATAAAATGTGATAAACCTAGCAAATAAACTATGCCCATGCCTTGCTTAAGACAAAATACGTTTTGTATAATGATTATGGGTTCACCACACCACGAAGTGGTGTGGTGAAACCATATTGCTTTTTCTGATGTTTCTTCTTCTTCTTCTCCTCCTCCTCCTTCTCCTCCTGCCATTTTTTAAATGGATTCAGCTTCTTCATTTTAGGGCCTAAGGTCCTGAAATTTGGTATGGAGGTACAGTGGGCAAATACCCCTAGGCGTTTTTTTAAATTATTGTGATACAGGCTTTTAGAATGGTTTTATTTGAGTTTTTTGGCTGTGTTATAGCAAATGTATTACTGTGTTAGTTTGCCTTGTTTACCACGTTTGGGCATGAGTCATCACAATGGAATGCAGGGCATCAACCAATAGGCATGCAGCTTTCCTCTATACTTCTTGCTGATTGGCTGTTGGGATTTAACTTGATTAACACCTGCACAGAAGCATTTCCATACTGACAGTATGTCTGTATTCAAGTGTTTTGGTAGGTATTTCAAGCTTTCCTGCTCCAGCATTGGAATGCCGGGCATGGACGTTTTTTTTTATTTTGAAAATCAACAGTTTGCATTATGCAATTAAAAATCCTAACCAATAAAGTAGGGAATAGCTATCCAACTGTTGTTTTAGTTGTATTTTACTTCATATTATAGTTATATCAATGTAAATCATTGTTTTCCCTTGTGTTTCTCATTCTTTCCCTGCCATGTGGTAAAATGTGGTGAACCCATCGCTGTATTTGCTCCAAAGCAAATATTGGTCTTTCTAGTTTAATTTGCATTTACCCACCTAGCCAAGGTATTTTAGCACCTGGAGGGTTTAACACCCACCAATTTATTCGTCTTGTCGACTTGCATATGAACAGTACACTTAATCTCCAAGCAGATTCGGTGGGGCAAGGGGACTTTATATTGGCCTCCTGTATCCATTGGCCGCCTGTATCCAACGTCCGGCGAACGTTGGATACAGGACTGGCCAATATAAAGTCCCCTTGCCCCACCGAATCTGCTTGGATATTATACACTGTCGTTATAATCATTACTGTCTATTTTCTCAAATAGATACACAGAATGTACCGTCCAGCTGCTCGGAAGTAGCTGAAACAGTTGGCATTGATACCCAGGCGTTCTACTTAATCGACCCTGACGGACCAGGACGTGGGGTTCTGCCGATGGTTGTTAAGTGTGGCCGGGACGGACAAACAGGTTAGACACTCATGCGCTGACACAAATGTAACTATTAAACCTGAGTAGATTTGTAGCCCTGTTATGTGGTGACTATAAATTACACACGCGAACACACACACAAACACACACACACACACACGCACACACACACATACACACAAACACGCGCGCGCGCAAACAAAAAACACACACAGCACACGCAAATACACACACACAAATACACACAAACACACACACACACACACAAACACACACACACACACAAACACACACAAACAAACAAACACACACACAAACACATCAACAAACCAACACATGCTGCTCAGGTAAAAGACTAAAATAAGTAACCTTTTGGAGGTGAGGAGGCTGTTTTTAACTGGAATTGTATCGTTCATTAAGACCAAAAAGAGGGTTGATAATATAACTGCAGTCTAATGTTCAAACGCTTCGTTACAATTTCAGCTGTCACCCTGATCGGCCACAACAGTGAGACACGCACATATGTGCATGAGTTTGAGAATCCCGGTTCCTACTCCAAGGATGTGGTATACTGGAATAGCATGGAACAAGTGAGGGCTCTGGTGGACCAGTCAAGTCACTGTAAACAGTACATTAAGGTACTTGACATGTTGCTATGTTTACCGAAGGAAAACATATTGTTTTACTCAGTTTCTTCCTCTTCTTCTTCTCCAAACAGTGACCTATGAACTGACCAATGACATGATTTGTTGACGTCTGTCACCATGTTGACTGGTGTTGGGTTAAATAATGTTGCAATTTTATGGTCAGCTCTGCTCCAGTCCTAATATACTCGTAGTAAATGTATGTGAATGTGTTTAAGAAAGAATTAAAAGAACAGGCAATGTCCAAAGGTAAACATTATGCATTTGCTTTGCAAATGTTACTATATAGTTTATAATGCCATTTTAGACATGCCAGAGGTTAGCATGAGATTAATGTATAACCTACGTCTGCTCTAACTCCTACCACCCTGCCAGTGTGTGTCAGTAATACGCAAGTTGAACAATGCTGGATGCACTTTCCAAGTAAAGGGTCACTTTTGCAGTCGGGCCCCTGCATTCGGTAGGTCGTGAGTTCGATCTCCGGCCGAGTCATACTAAAGACTTCAAACATGTTACATACCGCTTTCTCTGCTTGACAAACGGCATTTAAAAAATAGAATGGGATTTAAGCACACACAGCTACCAGTGGACTAGCCCCCTACTGTAGTGATTGCACTGTGTGGCCCGAGGGCTTTAGAAACGGAGATGGGCGCCGCTATATGCGATCCTGGCCATTCTAATGTTGCGGGGAGGACTTTAACTTGTACTTTTTAACCCTGGTCACTTTTGAAGCATAGGCCACATGTACAGATGGCAGTACTCCATGCATATTGATATAGATATGGAATTTCAAGAGTAGATTTGGCATTCCAAGACAGAGATTGTTGGGGAAAATTGTGATAGTTTTTATCATATGCCACCCTTTGTTTAACATCCCAACAAGAGGTAGGACAAAAAACTGGCCATGTGATTAGAGGTTCACGAGTTCCCCCAACAACCTTTGCTTTGAGAGTAGGCTGGAGGGAGATCTTACTAGCCAGAAGTCCATGGATAAGAATGATACAGTGGCCAACATAATATATTACGTCTTACTGTATAATGATACTTATTACTATGTTTGATATGACATTAATAGTGGTATTCTAATTTGTGCTAATATGTACCTCCAGTACGAATGCTATAAATCAGTGATCTGGGAGTCGACTTCCAGACCCTACGCCTGGTGGGTGACTTGGAACGGTCGCCAGGCTGACTACTGGGGAGGTGCCCAGCGTGGGTCTCGCAAATGTGAATGTGGGCGATGGCGTAAGTTTAAGTTATATAATATATAGCTACAATCTGCATTGTTAGAGCAAATTCAGGACATAACGTTGGAAAAACAAACACTGTACAAATTCTATATTTAAGCACACCTAAAATGTTGCGCAAAAGAACGCGCAAATGGGAAAACAGAAAGTTTTCGCATGCTTACAGGTGTGCGTAAAGAATGTAAAGTAAAATTGAAGCTTTTTATTGATTTTTCCTGCACAGGTCGCTGTTCCAGGTGCAACTGTGACTACAATGATGGCAGGTGGCGTGCGGATTCTGGGTACCTGTCATACAAGACTGACCTGCCGGTCACCCAGCTCAGGTTTGGCGATACTAGTGGTAGTGAGAAAGGCTACCACACCCTGGGGAAACTTAAATGCTACCCCTGAGTCTATAGCGAATAATTGCCTGCCTGTTGAAGACATAAAACAGTGCAGAAGGCTTCACTGAAACGTATACCAGAGTGCGGTGCAGGAGTGATATGAATAAATTAATTACAGTGTGGTTTTACATCTTGTATTTGACTAATATAGCTTAATTAGGATGACCAAGTTTGTTGGTATTTCTGTGTGTTTTATTTTTGCACTGTATTTTTTGGTTTAATGAATGGATGAATGAATGAAGACCTTTATTGTACATTTGTGTTCTACAGAACTAAGTACAGGTCGCATGGGTGCAGAACATGAACATAACATATATATTTTACATACATATGGACATATAGGAATGTAAATAAATGTCTAATTTCTATTCTTTTCGGCTTCATCTCGCTTAGTATTAATTGTATGAATATATGCGGCTGTGAGATTACTTAGAGTAGGTTTATCAAAAGTTAAAAGGAATACAAATTTCTCTTTACTAGTCAAATATTTGAAGTGGGGAAATATACTTAATACATGGCTAAAAAATATGAATCTATCTCTACTATACAAGGGGCAATCTATGATGAAATGTATTTCATCTTCTATTTGGCCTAAACTACAGAATTGACAGGTTCTTTGTTCTAGAGGAGTGCGGTTATGTCTTCCTGATTCGATTCGTAATTTGTGACAACTGATTCTTAGTTTTGTTATGGAGGACCTGTGACGTATGTTTGCTAAGTTGAGATATTTTATTTTATTTTATTTTATTTAATGAGTATATAATGTTACAAATAGGTTTGGTGTGCCAGTTTTTATGTTTGTTGTAATTCCTAAAAGTTGCACTGCATTTTGACTGTTGTTTACACTTTTTCCAGCTGTGTCATATATAATATTGAGTTTTTATACATACCGTAGTTTAAACTATTCAAAACAGAGCTATCCCTTGAGAAAATTGTGTGCCTGTAACATGGATCGTTAACCATTGAAGGTTAACATTAGTGATTGGTTTGTTATAGATTATTAAATTTAATGCAGTCAATTTCATGTATGTTGTTTAATTGTTTTAATGTGTCGCAATCGTGTGATATATACACTACATACATTCTAAAAAAGATTAGTGCTTAATACAACTCATTAACCTAATGTAAACTTTTAACGCAATGCTTTCTTGGTGACTGTTTATTTGCTTGGCTCTACTTAAATGTGTTTAACTGGTAGTAAACTGGTAGGAAAGGTAAATTTTCTTAGTAAAAAAAAAAACCTGAAAAATCCTGTCTGACAGACATGTTTAGCATTCTCAGTACTTTTGCACAGTAAAATACTTTCAACCAAACCGTCATAGTCCTAATAGATGAGATTGATCTCTGAATTGTGAGAATAAATAGCGTATTTTCCATCCTTGTTTCTTAATTATGGCTTTATCAACACCACGTAGAACAAAATCTAACCACAGAAAACCTAAATCTGAAGAAAAAAGGCACCAAAATATTCTAACTCTGACGCAATAGCCTGCACTGAGTGCAGGGGCAGTAGATAACTTAGCCTTGGAAGTCATCACCTTAGGTGTGCAAGAACGTCACTTTAAAGAGTGTCTCAGCTAAAGTGACGGCAGGACAAAGAGACACCACCTTGGAGTGGATTTCATTAACATCTATGAATCAGATGGAATTAGGTCAGTAAACGAAATTACGATTAAAAAAGCATTTTTGGTAATGCAATAATGATTTTCAATGAAGCGCTAATAGGCTCCTAAATTACACCCTAGTTCACATTATGCCTTTTTTAGCCTGTGTTTACACAAGCTCTCTGCCGGGGGTTGCATAACACCAAGATGGGGTGGCTACCGTCGGTCGACCGGAAGCCAAAAGAGATATAGTAAGGCAGTTTTAAAGTAAAGTTATTTTTTGAGAACGTTATTGTTCTGTAGCTGTAGGTGAATGCGGACTGCCTTCAAACAACTAGGCGTGGGGTCGTGTGGCATAGCAGTAACATGTTCGGCCCAGGCCCAAGAGATCCCGGGTTCGAATCCTGCCCGGTGTCACCGATCTTGTGTCCTTGGGAAAGGCACTTGACACTACTTACCTCACTTCACACAGGTGTAGATGAGTGCCTAGCTTCGGCTAGGGACATCCCTCAGATAGGACATTAAATGGACGTCCCCTGTTTGGGAGACCTACACCTCGCGCACGTAAAGAATCCACCACACCTATCTTAAAGAGTAAATGTGATATTCACCTGTTGTGTAAATCCTTTCACAAATGTGGTAAATCTTTATAAAATAAATGAAATAAATCTTCACAAATCTGTGTGGTACAAAGACAGAGGGAGGAGGGTTCGACAAACAGCCAGCAACTTTAGAGGGTCTGAAATAGGTATATCTGAAGACTTTCCTAAGCAAATCAGGCCGTCGGAAGAAGACCTACCTGTGATGAGAGAAGCAAGGAAGTCTCAACCCCCGATGTTTGCAGTTCTCAAAGTTGACCATTTGTACATTGACGGTGATCTCTATAATGGACCTAAAGCAAGCCGCCCATACGTAACCCGCTGAAAGTAACTGTCATAGACTACTCTTATTTTGTACAATGATAGTTTTCTAAGTGTATTTAAAGTGTAATTATGTGTCTCAATATGTTATGTGTGCTAAATAGGACAGTTGGTCCTGTTTTGCTTTTCTCAACTTCATGTGTATATGTATTTGTAAATGTGGCTTACTCTAGGCAAAAATATGGTGTGAAAGAATTAGCACTACCCATAACATGAAATTAGAATGTGTCCATCCATGTAAGAGGTTTAAATGCTTTATTGAAAGAACGAAAGATATTTTATATGGTTAGGGATGAAAAATTTCATATCTTTTATATGCAGGAAACCTTTTCAGTAAAAAAATTGTGAAAAGATGTGAATTGAGGAGAGAAAAGATTTTTTTTCACATGGGTCAAGACATGGCAAAGAGGTCATTATTCTGTTTAAGTCCTCACTTACTTATGACAGAAAGGACTGGCACTCTGACGTACAAGAAATATATACAGTTGCAAATATTAGATATCAACAAGAGAATTTCAGTTTAGTTAATGTATATCCAGGTCTGTGAGTGAGTAAGTAATGTATATGCCCCAAACTATACAGCCAGTCAGCTTATCGTGTGGGAGCAAACAGAGGGAAGGAAGAGAAGGGATAGAAGAAAAAGAACAACCTTCATTGACACCCTAAAGCGGGATTCTGGGCTTAGATGCATCATCAAAGCAGAAATCCACTCACTGATGGATAAAGACCCCATTATCTCCCGTGTTGACATCTCTGATCCTTTTTTAAGGTTCAAGGTACTTTAATTACTTTATCAGAGTTCTGGTCGTTTCGGTGGCATAAAGCTATGCGCCATCTTGCGACATGAGCGTGCACTACCATAAAGACCAAGGTTTGATTAGGACTATACTCTTTATGAATTCACCATTAAAAAGCCAAAGTACGGTGATGCATAAAATGCATAGCGCATCGTTAGTTTCCGTTTTATACGACAATGATTTCCAGATTACTATTTGTTGAGGAATCAAGGAAGAACTTAGTCAATTGGCCAGTAGGCCTTCAGCTGCCTTTGATTCTAAGATTCAATAGATTCAAGATGGATTTATTGGTTCTTCGCAGTTAAAAACTACTGAATTGTAAACCAATTTACAAAACATTAGTATATTAAAAACTACAGGTTTGCAATCAATATAGGCGTACGATTAACAAACCAATAAAAATACATGTTCCATACATTATAAATTTCCTGGACAACATTTGATACAGAAACAGTGTACTACATATTAGAAAAACAACAGTCAGGGGTTCAGTCCATAGTTATTGAGGAGCTGGACCATAAACGGTATGGGCGAGTTCTTGTATCTATTTGTTCTTGCTCTCGGACAGTCTAGCATCTCGCTGTTTCTAGTACTACGGCCAGTTATTTGTGATCTCTGTGGAGGTAGCCAGTCTCTGTACTCTGACCGCACAAGTGTCCTAGCAAACTTCACACACAACAGTTCTCTTCTCTCGGCAAGTGATGACAGTCCGAGGTGTTGTAGTGCGTTGTCATATCCTGTGTAGGTGGTTCCCAGGATGATGCGGCAAGCCCGCCTTTGAACACGCTCAAGGCTGCGTTCCTGGGCTTTAGTGAGGGCAGGAGTCCAGGCAGGGGCTGCATACTCCAGGATAGGTCTAATATATCCTGTGTAAATGGTTGTGAGGTCACTGTGGGAGACGTTGAACCTCAGACTACAAACAATCGGATTCCCAGTTGTGCTGCTATTCCTCGAATTTTTCTGTGCAATCCAAGATCACGTTTCACATTCTCGTCTCTAGGCGTGCAGTTACCCTGTAAGAGACGTTATCTGTGAGGGCAAAAAAATCAAAACCACCCTAATAAATATAAAGCGGAAGGAATTTCTCTGCCATATGGTTGACGTTAAGGCCTTTGGCTGACAAAATGTTTTTCAAGGATATCATTCTAGACATTTTGGGTTCATCTGTGATAAAAAATCAACAAGTCTATTGCAGGGTTTATAAAAAGCCACAAACATTTGAATAACGTTCAGGATGAGGGAGCGGATCGGGGGCTCTTACAGGCCACGACCTTACTATAGAGGGAGCAGATTCAAAAGGCAACCACTGCCTTCTGATGAATGTAACAATTGTGGGGGAAAAGGGCATTGGGCGCGGTCCTGCACTAACCCGACAAAGAAATAGTTGAGTGTGATTTATACATGGGGTATTCGGGGAAATATTCCGGACATAACTTTTGAGTTGGGATTTCCTGATTCGTTGTGATTGTAGTGTAGCAGGCTTGCTGTATTTTGATATGCCCTTTGTGAAAGTTTGTAACGCAGAGGGTCTTTGCTGATGTATTAAGGCCGTGGGAAGAAGACTCCTACCTGTGATGAGAGAAGCAAGAAAGTCTCAACCCCAGAAGTTTGCAGTACTCGAAGTTGACCAACTGTACATTGATGGTGATCCCTATGATGGACCTGCAGCGAACCTCCCATACGTAACCCGCTGACTGTTATAGACTACTATTATTTTGTACAATGATAGTTCTTCTAAATGCGCCGCAAAGTGTATCTAAAGTGTAATCATGTGTCCCCATATGTTATGTGTGTGCTAAACAGGACAGTAGGTCATGTTTCAATTCTCTCAACTTTATATGTACATGTATTTTGTAAATGTGGCTTCCCTCAGGCAAATAATGTTGTGTGAAAGATTCAAAACGATCCGTAAAATGAAATTAGAATGTGTCCATCAATGTTTTGTACATATAAGAGATTTAAATGCTTCATTGAAAGGACGAAAGGTATTAATTTGGTTAGGAATGAAAAAAAAGTTGATATTATTTATATGCAGGAAACTTTTTCAGTAAGAAAATGTGAGAAGATGTGAATTTAGGCTTGGGGAGATAAAATAAAACGTTTTTTTTTCACATGGGTCAAGACATGGCAAAGGGGTCATGATTCTGTTTGACCCCTCACTTACTTGACAGAAAGGACTGGCATTCTGATGCACAAGGAAGATATATAATTCAGTTTAGTGAATGTATAAATTGTATATGCTCCAAACTATACAGCCAGCCAGCTTATGCTGTGGGAGCTAGCAGAGGGAAGGAAGAAAAAGGGGTAGAAGAAGAACAACCTTCATTGACACCCTGAAGCGGGATTCTGGGCTTAGAGACATCACCAAAGCAGAAATCTACTCACTGATGGATAAAGACCCCATTGTATCCCTTGTTGACATCTCTGATCCTTTTTTTAAGGTTCAAGGTACTTTAATTCCTTTATCAGAGTTCTGGTCGTTTCGGTGGCATAAAGCTTTGCGCCATCTTGCGATATGAGCGTGCACTACCACAAAGGCCAAGGTTTGATTAGGACTATACTCTTTAAGAATTCACCATTAAAATGCCAAAATACGGTGATGCATAAAATGCATAGCGCATTGTTAAGTTATGTTTTATACGACAATGATTTCCAGATTACTATTTGTTGTGGAATCAAGGACGAACTTTGTCAATTGGCCAGTAGGCCTTCAGCTGCCTTTGATTCTAGGCGTGCAGTTACCCTGTTAGAGACCTTATCTGTGAGGGCAAAACATCAAAACCGCCCTAAAGCAGAGGGATTCTCTGCCATATGGTTGACGTTAAGGCCTTTGGCTGACAAAATGTTTTTCAAGGATATCATTCTAGACATTTTGGGTTCACCTGTGATAAAAAAAATCAACAAATCTATTGCAGGGTTTATAAAAAGCCACAAACATTTCAGTAACGTTCAAGATGAGGGAGCGGGCCCTTCTAGACAGTTAGGAGAGGCTCTTACAGGCCACGACCTTACTATAGAGGGAGCAGATTCAAAAGGCAACCACTGCCTTCTGATGAATGTAACAATTGTGGGGGAAAAGGGCATTGGGTGCGGTCCTGCACTTACCCGACAAAGAAATAGTTGAGTGTGATTTATACGTGAGGTATTCAGGAAAATATTATTCCGGACATAACTTTTGAGTTGTGATTTCCTGTTTCGTTCTGACTGTAGTGTAACAGGCTTGCTGTATTTTGATATGGTCTTTGAAAACGTTTTTTACGCAGAAAGGGTCTTTGCTGATGTCTTAAGGCCGTCGGAAGAAGACTCCTTCCTGTGCTGAGAGAAGCAAGAAAGTCTCAACCCCAGAAGTTTGCTTTACTCGAAGTTGACCATTTGTACATTGACGGTGATCTCTATAATGGATCCAAATCTAACCTCTCATACGTAACCCGCTGACAGTAACTGTCATAGACGACTATTATTTGTATAATAATAGTTCTTCTAAATGCACTGCAAAGTGTATCTAAAGTGTAATTATGAGTCCCCATATGTTATGTGTGTGCTAAACAGGACAGTAGGTCCTGTTTTAATTTCCCCAACTTCATGTGTACATGTATTTGTAAATGCGGCTTACTCTAGGCAAAAAACATAATGTAAAAGTTTTTAACACGTCCCATAACATGAAATTAGAATGTGTGTTCATCAATGCAAGAGGTTAAATACTTCATTTAAAAGACGAAATATATTTAGATGGGTAGGGATGAAAATATCTGATATAATTTACATGCTGGGAACATTTTCGGTTAAAATATTCGAGAAGATGTGGAATGCGGATTGGGGAGAGAAAACTGTATTTTCATATGGGTCAAAACATAGCAAAGGGGTCATGATTCTGTTTAACCCCTCACTTACTTATGACAGAAAGGACTGGCATTCTGATGCACAAGGAAGATATATAATTCAGTTTAGTTAATGTATATACTCCAAACTATACAGCCAGTCAGCTTATCGTGTGGGAGCAAACAGAGGGAAGGAAGAGAAGGGATAGAAGAAAAAGAAAAATACAAATGTTTGATATGGACTAAAATGCCAAAGTACGGTGATGCATAAAATGCATAGCGCATCGTTAGGTTATGTTTTATACGACAATGATTTCCAGATTACTATTTGTTTAGGAATCAAGGAAGAACTTAGTCAATTGGCCTTCAGCTGCCTTTGATTCTAGGCGTGCAGTTACCCTGTTAGAGACCTTATCTGTGAGGGCAAAACATTAAAACCACCCTAAAGCGGAGGGATTCTCTGCCATATTGTTGAAGTGAAGGCCTCTGGCTGACAAAATGTTTTTCAAGGATATCATTCTAGACATTTTGGGTTCACCTGTGATAAAAAAAAACAACAAATCTATTGCAGGGTTTATAAAAAGCCACAAACATTTGAGTAACGTTCAGGATGAGGGAGCGGGCCCTTCTAGACAGTTAGGAGAGGCTCTTACAGGCCAAGACCTTACAATAGAGGGGTAGATTCAGAAGGCAACCACTGCCTTCTGATAATTGTAACAATTGTGGGGGAAAAGGGCATTGGGCGCGGTCCTGCACTTACCCGACAAAGAAATAGTTGAGAGAGACCTTCAGGCAGTCAGCATGAGCTGGAAGGAAGCCTGGAGGCTGGCTGCTGATAGAGGAAGCTGGGCTGCTTTGACTGCCTCATGCGTCACGAAACGCGGGAGCCCCTAAGTTATATGACGGTGACATGCTTGCGCGTCTTACCATATACAGATACGTAAAGCAATACTATTGAATAATTTAAGCTTTCAACTCAAACCTTCCGCAAATAACAATCTTATAATACAAACGGTGTAAAAGCAAACAACAATGTTTAAAACTGATAAAACAAACCATGTATGTATGTATGTCGCGGCTATTACTTAAATGTCTTTAATTTGTTTAAATGCATCAAATATTTTTAACATATTTAGAAGGTAAATGTACAGCGTTGTCTTTATATAATATATTGTGTTAATATATTCATAGCTAATCTTTCATGTAAATATTGATGAGCATTTGCAAGTCATAAATATCTAACGTACAGTATCCTACAGCGTTGAAAGTTTCACTGTTTATTTTGAATTAGTAATCATTGTTGTTAGGCTAACTTTAATTGTTTTCGTAATAATTAAAAATTATTGATTACTACCATATAAAGCAAACCTAGATGTTACTTACATATCTATTGTAATATTTATATAATAGATATTATATAAGAATATACATGATATTTTTTATCATTGTTGAAAAATTGAACTTCGGTATATACGTATTTCTTATGATGTGCAGCATGCAATAATGAACACGATATTTTAAGTTGACATGTAATTGTGTATTAACCCCTACTTAATGTATGCACACTTATAAAGTATAAGGTGTAATTGAAGTATGATATCTCACACGCATCTTTACAATAAAATAGAACTTACAACATAATAGATATGTCTATGAATAATGTCATTGTAATTACTTATAGCCAGTAGTTTTTAAAAGTTTAAAAGTAATATACTACCCGGTTGGGCATTTGTTTGGAACTTTGGCTGAGATATAAGAGAGGCTGTAACTAGACCTATATCTCTACACAGCAAATACGAAGCTAAATCCTGTGTGGGTCATTAAGTTCCCAAAGCATACACGCAATTTTGCCCTGGTTTTTGTTTGGATCGGGAGTTTGTACTTCAGCATTGGTTCTATCCATCGTTCTCTTTCCTACCGTAACGATAGTACAGCCTGCGTTACCCACAGCTACCGAAGTAGTATCCCTGATGAAGTTTACTATCTGTAAGTTTTCTGTCTTTGGATCTAGACCTTCCTCTGTGTACACGTCCATAATAATAGTCATGAACATACTCAGTAATACAAACTGCATCATGAATTGGTACGAGAAGAACATAAGTGGACCAAGCATTGTGTGGCCCTCCACGATAGCATCGAAGTCAAAACTGCCCAACATCATGGTACACAAACTCCCCAGGCTGGATAATATGTTCTTATAACCCTGAATCTTCGTACCAAACAGAAGGTTACCCATTAGAGTGAAAGCCATTAGGACGATGCCAGCGATGACGCAGAACTGCATCACGGGTTTGAAGGACTTTTTGAGGGTCATAGTCAGAGACAAAACGTGCGAGTTGAATCGAAGAAGTTGAATGAATTTCAGTGTAACACAACAGATGAGAAAACCTAACAGGTACGTGTAGACTCCGTACCAGTTGGCTGCACTTCTGTAAAGCTCAAAGACAGGAGATGCTCGTTGCTCGGCCGTCTCATCGATGATGAACTGAGCTTTCAGGTAGACGCCGAGGGTGGAGAAACCGATGAAAATGACTAGAAGCTCAACCCAGCTCCAGAACTCACCCAGGTACTGGATCGGACGTGAGTGGATCTTTTTGGCTAAAATGACAGAATAAACAAAGTGTTATTGTCGTGTCTTTGTGGTTGATATACTACAGAAGTAAGATTTTTTTTTCTACATTAGACAATCAGGGTACATTGGACCTTCCTTGAGCAGAAACGCTGGACAACATAGACTTCTAGGCTATTTTGACCAATAGCCGACGTCCAGTAACGTCACGTGACCCGGGTGATAACTCCCTTACATTCTGCAGAAGCCTGCAGCTGGACAATCGAAAATTCGATGCACTTTTTTAATGTATTGGAACATTTTTAGCTGTACATAATAAAAGTATAATGTTTTCTTGATGTATCACTAAAATGAACAAGATTTTATGGACACTAATACTAAACTATGGGAGAGAGTGAGTGAGTGAGTGAGTGAGTGAGTGAATACTATTTTAAAATCAAAAGGGTCCAATCAAACGTAAAGGAAAACCCAGCCAATAATACTTTTTCACCTTCTTTTGCAGTAAAGAACACCAAGAACATCCCCATCAAAACTCGGAACGCCAGCAGGAGTAGGGCGTCCCGCTGAATCAGCCGCAGAGTCACAACTTCTCCACTGGTGAAGGCAGCTCCGAGCGGCGTGAACTCTACCACGATCGTGACCACGGAGAACAGGTTGGCGTGTGGGTTGTAGAGAATCAGCTCCACAAACACGGCTCGGGTCCGCTCGTCCAGCCAGTTGTGCTGCTGTAAGAACGTCGCCGCTGCTTGGCTGGCCTCCGGTTCCGTTCCAAAAGTTGTTGAGTACCCACCCTCGCTGAGGTAGGTGCCGTGTTTTGCGACATGTGGAAAGCCTTGAAAGACGGAAGCAAAAACAATGTTCCAAGTGTGCATGGGAAGAACTGATACATTGTGGGCTAGTATAAAATCTGTTGGCCCCTGACAAAACACGTGTTAAGACATCCCTAATTTTGTTTCCTTACAAAGGATTAACATAATTCCTATCTAGTACGTGACTTAAAACTCTATAGGGCAGCAGAACTTTAGGAATCCGTTAAGTGTTTTATTAGGAATCTTAAACTGCCTGCTCAAACTGCAAGGTTAAAAAAACGAAAGGAAAGTAACTCATACTGTAAAAAAAAAAACTTTTTAAAAATCTCACTTACTGTCGCTGACAGAAGCAAACGTGTATTTCCATGTCGAATTTCCTGTCAGACACTCCCCAACTCCAGGCATGTCCAACGTTATATTCCAGTGGGAAGGACACGTAGTTGGTTCCGTGGAGTTGGAGGTATCATTAAAGTTCGACGTATCATTTTGTGGAATCCAGCCCTGTAGTATATATATGGCAAGAAATTGGACATAGCAAACCATGGTGCATTTCAAAACCTAACAGAAAACCTAACATTGAATGATATTGCACCCAGGGGAATTCACTGGTTTTCAACCTCATTTCTTACTGCTGCCCTGCCTAACACCCAACACAAACAGCTTGGCGCACTGTTGTTACGTTTGTTACATGTTTGTAATTGCAATTCCAGGAAATGTAGACAGGTGGCGCAAATGTCACACTCTCTGCAGCTGGGCTGTCTTTTCTTCCATGCAGGCACTGTATAGAAAAACATGACATGCATTTTCAACTGCTGTCTAACATCTAACACCATGGTCCATTAGGTCCACATGTGGTTATCTGCATCTGGTAGTCAGGGATCCTTGTACTGTTAGATTCTCTTGTTAGCTTTCTATCAACAAACTTAACAGTCATTGACTAATTGTATAACACTGTCTGACCAAAGAGATTGGTCTAAGGAAATCCTGACAAGCATTTCTTACTGCCTCCTAACACCCAACAGACAGTGTTGCTCAATCTTAAATTTTCTGTTAGAAACCTAACAGGGAATCTAACAGTATGTAATGTCATGTAATTTATATTCAATTTGTAATTGCAGTTCCAGGAAGTGTAAATAGGTGGCGCAAATGTCACCCTGTCTTCTCAACTAAGGCGCACAGATAGAGGAGCAGGCACTGAGGAAAACATGCAGATAAAACATGACATGCATTTTGAACTCTTGTCTAACATCTAACACCATATGTTTTATATTTGTTGTTAGAAATCTAAGAAGATAATCAGTACAAGGACCCCTGATTACACTGTGAAAAAGCAGGGCACACATTCTGAACCACTGTCTAACATATAACACTATTAAGCGCACCACATGTGGTTATCAGCATGTGGTTACCCCAGGGATCATTGCAATGTTACATTATCTTGTTAGGTTCCTAACAAAAAACTAACACACAGACACTGTGAAAAAGCAGGGCAGACATTCTGAACCACCGTCTAACATATAACACTATTAAGCACACCACATGTGGTTATCTGCATTTGGTATCTCATGCATCCTGCCTCTAATTAAGAACAGCACGGGCTACCCTAGTAGGGCTACCCATGCATTGCAAGCACTGTTAGATTCCAATCTCCAAGCAGAGGTCGGTGGGAAAGAAAAGTGATAGGAAACACGGAAAAAAACGTCAATATTTTTGTAATTAGAGCCTGAATGGAAATGAAATTTAGCATGCTAGTAGATTGGTATTTAACATACCGAACCTTGGTCTTTTTGGCCAACATAGATGTCAAAAATGATTTTAATGGCAAAAAGTTCTATTTTAGGCCAAAAATCGATTTTAGAAGAAACTTTGAATTCAGAGGTCGATGACCGCGGGTCACTGATCAAAGTGCATCGGAACACGTTCTATCACAATGTCCTTGGTGTAACTTCTTGCATAATTTGGCCCCGCCGAGCAGGTGTTTCAGTAGCCTCCATAGCATGCCAAAAACTGGGGATTTTGGGTGTCTTCAGGGTCTTTGGAAGCTTTTATGTGCTATTTTCTGATTGCATATAGACAACATAGCCGGCCTGGTTGAATTACCGTTTTTTAACTGGACTAATCAGAAAACAGCCCAAGACCGCCCAACCCCCAGTTCTATAAGCCTGCTATGGAGGCTATGGTTTCAGATCAAAATTAAAAATGCACTAAAAATGAACTAGCTCCTGATTTGATAGAATATCATGAGTATAGTGACTTAGGCTTGTTGTTGTTAAAACAAACATAATTTTGACGGCCACTTTTTTTTATCTGCTTTTTTTTTTGTGGTTATCTGTAACTATTTGTCGACGTCGTAATCTAATCCTGGATAGTGAGCGAGTGAGTGTGTGTAGGGGAGGGGGGTCTTTACAGTAGAGTTGTTTACATATCAAGACACATGCTGTCGGTTTTGTCAGTTTTAATCTTTTTCTTGATAATGTGATAAGTATGGTTACCTATACCGAATTTTGACAGCTATTTCAAGGCTAAGAAAATATTGTGAGGGCTTCAATATACTGCAGGTGAAGAAATATGTGAACGCTGTTTTCACTAAATTTATGCCGTGAGGCGTCATTTTCAATTTGTGTTCTCCGAGCTTGTGAACTATTTTTACTTCCGCATCATAGACATCTTGGTGGAAATTACGTGCATCATTTTGTTACAATGGCGGCTTTCACTGTGGGCGGCTTTGGTCTGTCCAAAGCGTGAGAAATACACAGTAGCTAGAAGTGGCTTTCGCTGGTTCACAATACAAAGAGCATGTTGGGGCTGCGGCTAATCTCCAAGCAGATCTTTAGGTGGGGGTAAGACAATATGAAATTGGCCAGTCTGTAACCATTTGGGTGGGGAAATGGTTACAGACAGGCCAATTTGATACTGTCTTACCCCCACCTAAAGATCTGCTTGGAGATTAGCTGTGGCTACAAGTTTTGCTCGAGATCCTGTGCCGACCCCTAGGCCAGCAATGATAATATTTTCCTTACATTCTTTACCTTTTTTTCCTGATTTTTTTAACTCCATGAAGTAAACTGTTTGGTGGGCGCTGTAATGTTTCTGAAACAAGTCACCGTGAGATGTCACTTACCAACTGAGTGAGTTGGGGGCACGTGCCACCGGAGCCTGGTATCCAGTCTGATTCGTGGTCGGGGCCGCAAGAGCTCTAGCCTGGTTACCAAACCTATTATAGCTCCCGAGTCCTACATCCTCTCCGCAAATAGGTAAAGTCATTCCTCCCACGCTCAGTACTAGGCCACACCAAGTAAATTTTATGGATGACGTCCTTTGGAGACCCTAAATCTAATGCGAGAGGGCGAAAAAAAAACAAGAAGGGTCCAAAAACAAGATGCCTAGATTAGAAATATACTAAGAGACGACAAATGTTAGGACACAAATTGAATGAGGTGACACAGTGTAACAAGTAAGAAGTCTTTTATTCAACATCAAACAGCAATAAATCAGATGGAACAGCAGTTGTCGTCCTGTCCTGTTTCTTTCACATTTTTGCAGGCCTGCAGGAACAAAGCATAAAAGGCCAAATTAGTTGCTGATTAACCCTTTGCATGCATTACTACATTTCTACCTGTGCAAAATAGTCTATAGGAGCGTAGATAATTAATAAAATAAAAGGATGTGGACTATTGTTCTAGCTTAAACAGTATTGAACAGAGTGTCAAAGGTACATGTATGTACATGTATAGTACAAAGGTACACATGGACCCACCTGACACTGTTCTCTCACTAGTCTCAGTTGTCATCTTCTTCTGTCTCCTCCCTTCTCCTCTTCATCTTCCTCTTCCCTCTTGTTCTCTCAGTCACCCCAAGGCTCTGGCACACCTACAGAATAACACAACAGGAGTAATGAATTTACAGGAGTAATGAATTATCCTTCTTATAGATTGTGTTCTTAGACCTTTAAAAGTTGGTCAACATGGGCAAATCTAACTTTAAACAGTTTGAGAGAGAAAGAATATCAATAAAGGTGGAACAAAACAAAATATGTTTAGAGCTTGTACAATGTATTTTACATGTACATAAGCTGCTTGTAATGTATTTCAGTTGGTAACAAATGTATGCCTACCTGACAAACAGGATTTATTGACTGGTATGCAGCCGTCTTCTCTGCTGGTATGGGCAGCGTTTCCTCCTCACCGCAGTTCCAGCACACCAAAGGCAGCATCGTCTTCATCACCCCTGACTTCAGTCTGGCTGAATAGTAGTACTGTGCTACTGGTGAAGTGCATGTCACTGCCCTAACATGAAACAGGTGGAAAAATATATGGAACAATAGTCAATTGTGCTAAAATCCAACTCTTCAGAAAATACTAATTTTTTTGTCAACATAAAGATTTATGTTATATGTTGTAGTTAAATGTACGTCTTTACTGTCCCCAAAGTGCCTTAAATTTAAAGCGTAATATTCTACAACAATCCATATCAAATGTACCTCATTACTCACCTGTTTACAAAACAGATGTCATGTAGTGGGTGTGTCTCAGTGATCCAGGCCACTCCACAAGTGTACATCGATTCTTCTTTCAGACCATCTAGCTGGGTCTTCTGTTTTGTTGTCAAAGCTTTCAAGCTGTGAATCGTTCTTGGTCTTCGACAGTCCAGACACATCACGATGCCTCTTGTGTTCTCTGCCGATGGATTGAAAGGCATTCCATGACCAGTGGTTCTTGATGCATTCAGGCTTGGCCTGTGGTTTTCTGAGGTGTCCGTTCCATACACCTCATGAAACTGCTTGAAGTGTTCACCACTTGCATCTATCACAGGATCAGGGAAGTTCTTGAGTCTGCTGAACATTTCAGGAGGAAGTCGTGGTTTTTTGCAGTACTTGCATGCACTGTTTCCACATTTCTTATTGAAAAGAAATAGTGCCTGGAAATGCAGCAATGCTGCATGAAAGCCAGCAAGGTCCTTCTTAGCTTGCATCTTGACTTTTGTTGTGTCTTCTTTCGTAACTGTTTGGTCGATCAGTAGGATGAGATTCCACATTTCCTCAACTTCATCATCTGTGGCAGGGTCAACTGTGGAAAAAGGCTCACCCTTTAGACACAGGCGTTGGAACAGTTCATTGAGCATGGCGCGAACCTTTTCTGTGCTGGCAACCACAGCCTCCTTGAATGCAGGGTATTTCTGTGACAGTGCTCTTGCATCTTTCATGCTGTTTACACCCTCCATGAGCTTCTCCATCTCTGGTGGCAACTTTTCACGCATAATCCCAACAGCCTGCAGGGAGAGGTTGATGATACTCATGATTCTTTCTACTGGGTTTCGAAAACTGTTCTGGGGAGCTGTCCTAGCACAGACAAGCATGTCCAAGTCGAGTATCACAAACATACAGATCAGCGACACTTGAACACTCATATAAGTCACTCTATGATCAGGGCCTCCATCACTGTACTGTAACAGGATTGGTAGGCCAAGCTTTCCAGCCTGGTTCAGCACATCGTATAGCTCCG